CTACGACTACTACTACTACTACTACTACTACTACTACTACTACTTACTACTAACTACTACTAGCAATAATAATACTACTACTATTACACTACTACTACTACTACTACTACTATCTACTACTACTACTACAATACGACTACTATTTACTATACTACTACTACACTACACTACTACTACTACGACTACGACTACGAAATACTACGATTACTACTACTAAACTGCTACTACTACTCTTACTTACTACTACTACGGTTACTACTACTACTACTACTACTATACTACTACTACTACTACTACTACTACTACTACTACTACTACACTACCACTACTACTACTACTACTACTACTACTACTACTACTACTACTACTATTACTACTACTACTACGACTACTATTACTATTACTACTACTACTACTACTACTACTACTACTACTACTACTACTACTACTACTACTACTACTACTGCTACGATTACAGTTCATACTACTGGCATTGCTAGCATGTCCATTGCGATGTTCAAATTGTTTGATGTTTTTGGTGGTGTGGTTATTACGAGTTAGTAGTGGTGTTTGTGCTATTCTGGGCATCAATATTATCATTGCTGTAGTGTTCGTACTAGTATTACTAGTTGTGTGGTAATTGAAGAATAATATTATTATGACAAGTAGCATTCGTAGGTGTATAAATAGTCGTATTAATCTGGGTACGCATAATAGTAATATTATATTAGATTATTCTTACCATTCGAATTCTTAACTGCATTATGCTTTGTCCTGATTTTAGATATAAGACATCACATGTTGTAGAACATCATGACGTTGGGGGTCTGGGGGGACCGACGTTGGGGCCCGCTTTCGGGCCGCGGCCCAGGGTTGGCGCCGCTTTCAGGACGGCCGATCTCCTCGTTCTCTCGACCCCCACACTACCCTCCCTGCTCCCGGCCAGGCCAGTACTCGGGGAACGTCGCCGCGAGGTCCCAGGGCGGGGGCCGGGTGAGCGTCCTTGGAGGCCAAATACTACTGGGATGGGCGCCAGGGCTGCCAAAGGGGCAGGCGTGCTCTCAGTGGATTCCACGGTGGGTCATGTCTGGCCTAGCCAAGCTTATAAGATGGTTACACATGCGCCCGGTGGCCTAGGGGGGTATAATACTCCGCTACGTGGGCGGAGCCCACTTAGATCGGATCGCTAACGCCCCTCAGCCACTCGGGTCATGTGTAACCCACCAGTCAGGCTGAGCCCATAACCCACCTCAGCATCCACTGACGACTACCTCCATCCCCGCAGCAGCCCCCGCGCCGCGGCGGCGACGGCGTCCAGTGGCCGGCCGAGGCGGCCGAGGCGGCCGAGCGCGCGGCACCGAGGTCAGCATCTGCGGCATCGCGTCCCGCCCCGAGCTGAACGGGCAGCTGGGCGTGGTGTTGTCCTTCGACGGCGGGGCGGACCGGCGGTGCCCCCGCGCCCCTTGGGTGGAGAACTGAACGATGGCATAAACATTGATAACATTGAACCTGGCGCGACCCCTAGAGTTGTCCTCAAGGAGCGACTGCTCCAATCAGGGGAACGAGCAATGACAATAGACAACAGAAACTCGGAGATCCGCGCGGATTCCTCAGATCGGAGCTGGGGCCTCCTGGCGGCGCCTCCGGCGCCGCCCTGGCGCGCTCCGCGCGCCAAGAAGGAAGGTCCAGCGCCGATCCGAGGAATCCGCGCGGACCTCCGAGTTTCTGTTGTTTATTGTCATTGCTCGTTCTCCTGATTGGAGCAGTCACTCTTTGAGGACAATTCTAGGGGTCGCGCCAGGTTCATGGGAGGCTCTTGGGAGGAGAGGGAGGGAGGAGGGAGCTGGACGACGAGGGGAAGAGCATGATGAGATGTTCACGATCGGTTTGTTTCTGATGTGCCGCTGGCTTCCAGAGGAGGGGAGGCCGCCTGAGAAGGAGGAGGAGGCGAAGGAGGAGGAGGAGGAGGAGGAGGAGGAGGAGGAGGAGGAGGAGGGAGGAGGGCTACCCCTCCTTCTCGTCTGAATATTTCTCCCCAGCGTTTTCCTCCGTGAAGCCTCCCGACCCCCCCCCCCCCTTAGAAGCCCCTGAGAGCCCCCTTTTGGACACCCTACTTAGGACCCCAGCAGAACTCCAAGAAGCTGATCTTTCCCCTGCTGCTGCGTTCCCGCTGGCGGACCGAATCCGTAGTGCCCCTGTCGCTACTACGGACGACGCTCTGCAGAGGCAGCAGCGGCGGCGGTGAGCAGAGGAGGCCTCCGCGGGTAGCGCCAGACGACAGTCTGCCGCTTTCGCCACCGCGAGGCCTCCCTAGGTTCTCGTTCCTCCTCCTCCTCCTCCTCCTCCTCCTCCTCCTCCTTCTCCTCATCCTCCTCCTCCTCCTGCTGCTCCTCCTCCTCCTCCATCAGCTTCGTCTACTCCTCCACCACGGGGCCTCGGTGCCGTAGGACGGGCGTGTGCTTCTCCATAGGCGTGCTGCCCGAACGCGCTTCGGTCCGAACAAGATAGCACAAAACCCAGACCCACGACGTCATGATTTTTGCATGACGTGGACCCTCGGAGGTCTCGGCCCATTGCCAAGGACTCGTTCACCCTGCGTCGTTTCTGTTACGGTCCCGGGGCCCAGCGAGGGCCCCCAGAGGCTGAACATTTTCAAAAACCTTCCGTTGCGATTTTGTCATGACCTTCGACCCTTTCTCCTCCAGCTCCTCCTCCTCCTCCTCCTCCTCCTCCTCCTCCTCCTCCTCCTCCCTCCTCCTCCTCCAGCTCCTCATCCTCCTTTCCTCCTCCTCCTCCTCCTCCTCCTCCTCCTCCCTCCTCCTCCTCCTCCTCCTCCCCTCCTCCTCCTCCTCCGCCTCCTCCTCACTCCTCCTCCTCCTCCTCCTCCAGCTCCTCCTTCTCCTCATGTTCCTCCTCCTTCCTCCCCCCTCCTCCTCCTCCTCCTCCTCCTCCTCCTCCTCGGGGTTCGGGAAGCAGCCCTCGACCCCTTCTCCCTCGGCCTGCCCTCCGGCCGAGGTACAAGGTGAGCGTGCGGGGCACCGTATTTGCCCTCCGCGAGAGCAAGCTCGAGGCACCAGCCCGCCCGAGCCAGGGGCTTCCTCCGCCTCCTCCTCCTCCTCCTCCTCCTCCTCTCCTCCCCCTCTTTCCGTCCCCTCCTCCTCCTTCTCCCTTTCCTCCTCCTCCTCCTCCTCCTCATCCTCCTCCTCCTCCTCCTCCTCCTCCTCCTTCTCCTCCTCCTGCTTCTACTCCTCCCCTTCGTCCTCCTCATCCTCCTCCTCGTCTTCTTCCACTCCATCAGCATCAACAACAACTTATCATCAGCAGCATCGGCATCAGCGTCAGCATCATCATCACCATTAGCATCAGCATCAGCATCTGCATCAGCATCATCATCATCAGCAGCAGCATGAACTGCATCAGCATCAGCACCATAAGCATCATCAGCATCATCAATATCATAATCATCATCATCGTCATCATCAGCAGCAGCATCATCATAGTCATTATCAGCAGCAGCAGCATCAGCATCATCATCAGCATCCTCAGCAGCAGCATCCTCATCCTCATCCTGGTCATCATCGGCATCATCATCAGCAGCAGCATCAGCATCAGCATCATCAGCGGCATCCTCATGAGCCTCATCATCATCACCACCACCATCGTCAACAGCATCAGCAGTCTCGTCACCACCGTCACCATCGTCATCAACACCATCATCATCATCATCATCATCATCATCATCATCAGCATCATCATCATCATCATCATCATCATCATCAGCCGCAGCATCGTCAGCATCATCATCATCAGCAGCATTATCATCATCATCGCCCTCATTCTCCTGGTCCTCCTCCTCATCCCCCTCATCATCCTCATCAACATCAGCATCATCATCACCATCATCATGATTAGACTCAGCAGCATCACAATCGTCTGCATCATCATCACCAACCCGCCCGAGGCAGAACCTCACCAGCATCAACAACATCAGCAGCATAATCTGCATCAGCAGCATCATCCTTATTAGCATCATCGTTACCGTCGTCGTGACAATACTCATCATCTTTATAGCCATAGCCGTCTTCATACTTAACATTCCCACCATCAGCAACAGCAGGGCCATCATCAGCAGCAGCATCAACAGCACCAGCATCAGCATCAGCATCATCAGCATCATCAGCAGCATCATCGTGGTCATCATCATCATCGGCGTCATCATCAGCATCATCTGCATCACCATCATCGTTATCATCAGTAACATCACTAGCATCATCAGCAGCATCATCGTTGCCATCGTCATCATCGTCGTCATCATCAGCATCATCAGCGTCAGCAGCATCAGCATCAGCATCATCACCACCTGCATTATCATCATTATGTGTTCTCCGTATCAGCATCCTCGTCACGATCTGTCCCGTTCCCCTCCTCTGTCTCCCCCATCCCTCCCTCCCTCCATCCATCCATCCATCCTCTTGTTTCCTACTCTCTCTCTCTCTCTCATCCCTTTTCCAGCCCCGACGACCCAATACAGCATGTCCTCTCCTTCCCCCTCCTTCTCCCCACCCCCCCTCTCCCCCCCCTGTCCTTCTCCTGCCCCCCTCCCCCCGCTCCCCCCCATCTCATCCACGTATTTCCCGCTCCGCCTTTGCCTCCTCCTTCTCCGCCTCCTCCCCCTCCTTTTCATAATCATCCGCCTCCTTCTCCGCCTCGTCCTCCTCCCCCCTCCGTTCCTTTTCCTTATAGATAACTCCTCCCTGTCGCACCCCGAGGCTGGTCCCAAGGGCAGGTCGGGCGTTTCGCCCGAGACTCTCCAACAATGTATGACCCTGATGCTCAAAAACTGACAACAGCTTCACAGATGGAGGGCGGGTCGTGTTCAACCTGTGGCTCTCGCCGTAGCGCCGAACGAATTCGTTTATAAGATCTGCAAGAGCTTCACGGCTTGAGGGCGGGTCGTATTCAAAGTGTGGTTCTCGCCTGAGCGCCGCGCACTTTCGTCCTGAAAAAAATGCGATAGTTTGGGGGATTGAGGGCAGGTCGTTTTCACAATCTGGCTCTCGTCTCAGCGCCGAGCGCATTCGTTTTACCAATTCGCAAGAACTTCACGGATTAAGAGCTGTTCGTTTTCAAAATGTGGTTCTCGCCTTGGCGCCGCGCACATTCGGTTTGATAAGGCACAAGAGCTTCACGGATTGAGGGTTGGCCATTTTCAAAATGTGGTTCTCGCTTGAGCGCCGCGCACATTCGTTTTACAAATATGCAAGAGTGTCACGGATTGGTAGCGGTTATGTTTCAAATTGTGGTTCTCGCTTTACTGCCGCGCACATTCGTTTCAAACGTTTGCAAGAGTGTCATGTGTTCTCGCGGTTGACGTACCAGAATGACTTTCTTTGAAGATAATTGTGCCTCATCTCTCGCTTGAGCTCGACCGCATGCGTATGTGCTCAAGTTTTTTCGGCAGGAGCCACGTCCGCGCCCCTGCATGGCCGCGGCCGTGGAGCTGGTGGGGCTCGGCGCGCGGCTGGCCGAGGTCTGGCTGCTGCGCGGGCCGGCCTGCCCCGCGTGCCCAGCCTGCCCGACCCAGACCTGCACGCTCACGTGCAGTGGGCCGGCCACCTCCCACACCGAGCCCGCCGAGGTGCCCGCGCTTGCCGCCGGGCCGGGCTGGCTGGCGGTGTGGCTGGCCGCCGCGGTCGGGGCCGCGGGCGCGTGGGCACTCGGGCGCTTGCGGCTCTCCGCCAAGCCGCCCGCCGCCCGCGCCGAGCCGCCGGCCCCGCCGGCGCTGCTGCCGGCGCTCGCCGCCCCTGCCGCCCCAGGCCCCTTGGCAGCCTGCCAGGTCTCTGCGCCAGGGCCAGTGACGCCCAGCCAGCGGCGGGCGCGGGCCCAGGAGCAGGATGGATCGTAGCGTCCCGGACGTCCCGGAGGCGCAGGTCCTCATCGACTTCATGAACGACGAGAACGGGCTGCGGTGGCACGCGAGGCTCCTCATCATCCAGACGCCCACGCCGGGGGTCTGGATCGGGAGCACGCCCGACTTCTCGGTCCAGCGGATCGACCTGAATGTGCACCGGGTGATCGCCCTCGCTCGTGGGCAGCCCTACCCGCCGGCGCAGTGGGCCGAGTCGTACGTCTTCGACAACCCCATCGCCGACGCCGACCTGAGGCGGGTCCGACAGCAGGCGGCCGCCCTGGCGGCCGTGCTGGGCCAGGCCCCTCCCGCGGGCCCCGCCGCCCCGGGCGGCGTGGGGGTGTGGCGCGTCGCCGACCCCGCCGCCCGCAGCTTCGGCGACGAGGTGCCGGCCCAGATCCTCACGGACCGTGCGACCTTCTTGACTCCCGAGGTCGCTGCCGACGAGGACTACCTGAGTGGCCTCGTCTTGATTGACAACTGCTGGACCTTCTGCCAGCTCGTGCCCGACGATGACCGTGCTGCCTGGGAGCGTGCGCTGGTGTCTGGCAATCGGCGGGACGATCGCGTGACAGGCGACGCCCGCGAGCCCATCTCGGGCCGACGCTTCATCTCCTTTGCCGACTCGTTCGGGCTGCAGCACGCTGCCGCCGAGCCGCCCTTCCCGCTGAGCGGCAGTCGGGTCACCCACGAGTTTGTGAAGACGCTCCGCGCGACTGGCATGGAGTGGATGTCTCACCACCTGGACTTCATCCACAAGTCGGGCGTCTCGCCCAACAGCAACATCACGCGCGCGCACCGGAGGCTCACAGAGGCGCTGCACGCCTTCCAGCAGCAGGACATGCTGAACCTGCCGAGCCTCTCGGGCGTCGAGATCCTGGTGCGCTACCTCGTGCAGATCGAGATGGCGGTGGCCCGCAACCCGCGCAGCCCGGACTTCCAGGACCTCGACGCGGTCGTGGCCTCGACGGTCAACGAGTATGGCGGTCTCGTCCTTCCCGAGTACTCCAAGTACATCGCTCAGATCCAGAAGGACGAGGCCTTCACTTTGAAGCAGCAGCGGCAGTGGCGCGAGGAGCAGGCCACGCGTCCCCGCGGGCGTGGCTCGGGCGACGACGCAGGCGGCGGCGCTGGCGGCGAGGATGGCGGCGCGGGGCGCTTCCGGGGCCGCGGGCGCAGCCGTGGAGGTGGAGGCGGACGCGGCGGTCGGGGCGACGCCTCGGCCGCCGCGCAGGGATGACTCCTGTCGCGCGGGCTGCGGAGAGGCGGCGTTCGCCCCGGCGCCGTTCGGCCAACGATACCTCCGCAGTCCGCTTCGCTGGCGGGCGCACGAGGGGACCTGATGCCGAAGGGGCCCCTCGATTTTTGACTGGTCGCGCTCACGGCGACCCCTTTCCTCTGCCGCTGCTGGGCAGATCGACGCCGAGGGAGGTGCTGCCCCTGAACCTCTCCTCCGGCGTGCGGCGGCGGTGCAACCAGGCGATCATGGCTCTGAACGACCTGGACGCTCCGCTGGCGGCTGCGCGGCGCCTCGCCTCGGTTCTCCCGGCGAACGCCGCCCAAGCATCAGTATTGCAGCGCGTCCATCAGCGAGTGGCCGCCTTCGGCGACCCCATCGGCGTGGACGGTGATGACGCGCTTTGTTCTCTCCTGAAGTCCAAGGACGTCTACAGCGGCCGGCCGACGCCTGTTCGGCCTTATGAGCCGCGCCTCCTCAAGGTTCTCGACAGCGGCATCTCGCCGCAGCCGATCCGCTCGCTGGTGCCGCCCTCGCTGCTGCCGCTGATCAACGAGCCGGAGAAGTACATCTTTCGGTCGCAGGCGGTCCTCGACAGCATGGTGGAGGCCGGCGAGCTCCCCCCCATATACCCCTACTGGGATGCGAACCTGCGGCGGGACCCGGTCCTGCGGCTGGGCCTCTTCAAGCAGCTCATGCGCATTGGTCTCGTCGGTGTGCGCACGCGCTGCCGTGCCCGCGCCAGCATCTTCTTCGTTGGCAAGAAGGACGGCTCGCTGCGCATGGTGATTGACGGCCGCGAGCCTTCGGCGCTGCATCGCCGCCCGCCTCGGACCGAGCTCGGTTCGGCGGCGGCTCTCAGCGGCCTCTGCCTCGACGCGGACTTGCTGGGCCGCGACGGGCAGGGCTACCACGGGGCCAGCGCTGACCTGCGCCAGGGCTTCTACCAGATGCAGTGGCTCGAGATCGGCAGCTGGTTCTGCTTCGACTACCCCATGGCCATCCGCAACTTCGACACGGACCAGGTGTGCGACGAGGTGCACCGCCGCTTCGAGCGCGTCGACCCCGACACCGTGGTCTACCCGTGCTTCCAGGGCCTCGCCATGGGCTGGAGCTGGTCGCTCTTCATCTGCAACGGCATCACCGAGGACGTCACCCGCATCGGCATCAGTCGGGCGCTGTCCATCGCGCCCGAGGAGGTCAGGATGGTCTCCGAGCGCTCCCCGTGTGCGCGCCTCGGCGCGGGCGAGCTCGCTGGGGCCTCCTACGTCGACAACGCCAACGTCGTCGGCTCGCCGCGCTGCCTGGTCGACGCGGCGCTGGAGGCTATCCTGCTCGAGTTCGAGCGACGCGGCCTGGCCTACCACGAGGTGTGCTACGCCACGCGGGACTTCGTCTGCTGTGGAGTTCGGTTTGACTTCAGCGAGGGCCGAGCGGTGCCGCAGCGCGAGCGCGCCTGGCGGCTGCATCGGGCGGTCACCGCTCTGATCGACCGCCGCGGCTGCACGCCTGCGGCCATGGAGGTTGTGCTGGGGCACGTCGTGCACCACTTCATGCTCATGCGACCGGCCCTCGCTATCCTGAGCTCCTTGTACCGGGTCGTGTACGCGCCGAGCGACTACTGCCACTTCGACGCCGAGCAGCTGCGCGAGCTGGGGCTTATCAAAGCCCTCATCCCGCTCGCAGGTGTGGACCTCGGGGCCCCTTGGCACCCGTGGGCTTACTGCTCTGACGCCAGCCTGTGGGGCTACGCCCTGGCCACGTCGCGCTTCGATGAGAGCGAGCTCAGGGACATTGGCGCCTACCGCGAGCGCTGGCGTTTCGTCGCCATCGACCGGCATGCTGATGACCCTGGCGATCCGCCTGGTACCGAGGTCGCCACGCAGGCCGGCTTCACCGCGGGCAGCGACGACGCCGCCGTGTTCGCCGGGTTGGACCTGCCACCACGTGCGGGGCGTCCGTCACCGTGCCTGGCAGCTCGACGGAGCCGGGCGGCTCGGGTCGA